AAAGAACAAAATCAAGGTTCAATCAACAATTTATTGAGCGAAAATGGCATACAAAACAAAGCATTACAATACGTCGGATGCACAGGCTTCAAAGTGAAAATCAACATGCATTTCAATTACAAAGTGTCAAAGCACGGCAACATTAACGCTAAATACTGTTACAAGTCAACAGAGTAAGAAACATTTGCATGCAACTACAAGAAAAAATACAGAAACACACAGCACGTTACTGTTTCTCCGAGTTATCAGTCGAGGCAGCGACTGGAATGAAGACTGGAACTTCGTGCGCTTCCTGCAAAAAAACAAAAATCAGTATTAACTTTTTAATATAAACAGCAGGCCTACAATGTTGTCGGGTGAAAACCATTTCTGCCCGGGAGAAATCTAGTATCTCCTAGTCTGAGTCTTCTTTTGACAACAATTCTCGGGAGATACTTCAAAATGATACGTGTAAACGAATAAAAAGGTTTATACTTACATCGGTAATTCCAGTAGCTGAGCCAAACATGTCCTGCCCGCAGACACCAAACTGAAAACACAAGAACACACGTATTTAGACGATTATTTAAAGATAATTGAAAGCAAGGTTTCTTAGTAGGAAACGGCGTTTTCACCAGGATAGATAGCGCCGAAAATATGTTAATGCGATATGTGTAAAGAAATGAATAAAACGTTTATACTTACTTGGATAATTGCAGCAGCTGAGCCAAGCATGTCCTTCCCAAAGACACAAAACTGAAAACACAAAAATGCAGAATTTTGAATTTAAAAACCATTTAAAGTAATAAGTATTTGTTGCAAGCTATTTTTTACCACAAACACACAAAATGCATTGGAAAGTAATGACAAAAACTTTACAAATCTAAGTAAGCTATTTCGGTTTGAAAACATGCACACCCTTGATTTTGTGAACAAAGACTTAAAAATTAAAAATGCTATTCAGCTGCCAACGTAAATACTTGTTTTAACCCTTTCTCCTGGGAAGTTTAGACTACATTCAAATAAAATAAAAATAAAAATAATCATAAAAGACGCGAAACAAACTCACTCAGCTCCGCTCTCTCCAGCAGAACCTGGCGCACAGGTGCGCGGGGCGTGGCCTGCGAGAGATGTCATGCGGGTGGGCGTGGCTACAGACTGACGCAGGTTGCTTTTTTTCTCGGCTCCACGTGAAAACCTGTGGAAGAAATCGATCATGTTTACAGAAAACCTCTGAGTTACAAGCTTCAAAATGTTTTTTTTTTTCCCATGGCCATTGAGTAATCACAGTACTTTTAATCCTTACTAGTATTTGAGAGCCACAAGACTGTGAATGAAAGAATTTAGAAATATGTGTTTTTTAAACATCTTTCCAGGACAATTACTGTTCTATAGCCTGATTTATCTTAACGCTGGACCAATAAGTAACATTTTCCATCTGTAAACGTTTATCATACTTAATTTACTACCTTTTTACTCATTACTCATGCAGCTGATGTGTTCATTTAAGAAGTCACAGAACATGAGAAAGTTCAAATGAGAGGGCAGTATTCAATTGATGTACACCTTTTGGTTACTGATATCAGTTAATCTTACAAAGCCATTGCTCAAAAGAAGACAGGCTGTAGGTTTCAACAAAATGTCTAGATCACTTGTGCTATTCTCCCGCAACTCTTTGTGTAAAGAACTACACTTCCCTGTGACATCCTTTCACATTTCCCTTGGTTCCTGTCAAAGTAGTTCACACAGTATTACTGCAACTTAATTTTATAACTGGTTAACTGCAGTAATTCCTTAACTTGGCATAATTTTCAACACTAGTGCACTGAACTGTACATTTTACATTCAAATAAATTCAAATTTCTCAACCTCAGTGCAACCCCAATTTTAAACTTTAATCCTTAGCCTCAGCACTAAAAATGGATAAAAGATCAGGAAAGCTGGAGTTTACGAAAGAGGAGGCGGAAGAATATTTGTTAGAATCCACAGCGACCCCAGACATGAGAAGGAGCTGGAGCTCGTTAAACCAGACAGACCCACCAGTGCTTTTGAAGAGCCAGATCCTACCTGGCGGGAGATGAACGAATTCCTAAAAAGCTCTTGAGCAGGATCAGCGCCTGAGCCTAATGGTGTCCAGGACAAGACTCCCAAGTACTGCGAGAGCTCAGGCGCAGACTCTGGGAGCTGGTGAAAGCAGCAGGGAGGAAGAACTACTGTAACTCAAAGAAAACTGGGTGATTTCCCTGCAAAGAGGTGTGTGATGCCATATACAGGCATATCTACCTCTCCAGACACAAACCTAACACCCTGCTGGGGAACATTTTCCCAGTTTTTCTCTCTTTACTCTCCTCCAACAGTGGTGATGATCACAGCCCACTCATCCGGGGAACCGGGACATGTGGAGCACACCCACCTGTGTCGAGATGTCTGGACCCCCAGCTCCTGGAATCTCTGTCCCAGAGTCCTGCGTCACGGAAGTCTTCACTTGTGGTTTCCTGAGCTCGATGAGCTTCAGCTCTACCTCTCAGCCTCAGGCTAGTCCTTTTCGGGGAGTAGCAGTGGAACACCCTCAAATCGGTCAATCCTGTTTCACCAGACATGGCCACAACAGAGCCTGCTACTCCTCCAGACCTTCCTTGCACCTCAATGTCACTACTTGATCTCTCCAGGAGCCTCCTGCTCCCTCACTGTAGCCACTGGTCCTCTCATGACCAGCCAAGCTCTTGGACTTCCAGGTCCACCACCAGCCCATGACATCATCTCCCGTCTCTTTAAATAATCACATCTTTCACACCGGACGATTCCCTCTGGAATAGCTGCTCTCAATTGGTCCCTTCCAGGATTCCATGGATATTTGTCTCCACAGTCGTCTCTGAGACTGTTGATCTCATTTAAGGTTTTTTTTTAAATTGCAGCCACCACTCTGCTCTCACAGATCTGGCAGACCTGTTGTTCTAACGGGAGCCCAGGCTTCAAGTCTGCTTTGTTCAGCCACTACCTCACTGATGTCCTGGCTTCAGTTTTCCCCAGGGAAGTTTTCAGCCAGATCTTATAATCATACTTCCAACTGAATCTCTTTAGCTTCCAAACGCTTTTCAGCTGTAATGTGTAGTTCTCTATCAAGAGCCCCACCTCCCTGCCAAACACACCACAGGTGCTCTCAGGAAATTCCAAAACATTTCACTTCTTTACGTGGAAGGAAAAATGTGTTTTGCAATTTGGGTTGACTAGGTTCACGTTGAACAATAATTCTATTGATACATGTGTTCAAAAGAGTGGAGTTTCAGGAGTGTCTGGCTGCCTGGAACATGCTAGCATCATTTGTATGATCACAGGAAGTACAAAGCAAAATCAAGGAGACCTTGTTGTCCTGTGGTCAGGGCTAGATTTTGGTGTTCGTAGGCCCCAAGCACTTTCACTCTGAAATGTGCAAAAAGTGGGTAAATGCCAATTGAATTATGTCAATTGACATGATGCACTTTAAACTATTCTAATGCTATGAAGATATGAAGATATTAGAGGCAGATGTTCATGTTCTATTTCCCCATCCCTGGATTTTTCGAAACAGTAGAAGCAGTAAGAGCAGTTAATTAATATTGGATTGTGCCTAAGAAGGGGAGGCCAGGAGAAGACGATGATGCCACATTTTTAGGAGAAGAAAGGATTCAGAGAAATCAAGGGATGAAAATGAAAACTCATAGGTGACGGGGTTGTTTGAGTACATGAGTAAAAACTAAAACCACACAGAGAAACAAATAAAATGTTATCTCAGACTCTACTGATGATGAAAAAAGTCACCCTGCTAGTTTATTTAAATGCCTACTTGCCAAACCACCAATTCTCAGCGAAAATGGAAAGAGGCTCTTCAACAGGAAGAAACTTTAAAAAGTCATCAGCCAATACAGGCTGGCCATTACAATGAAAAATATTGGAAGGATAATTCTATGTCTCAAAGTAATGCCTCAATCTACTTTGTTAACAGAAATAACAACACTCTCAGCAATCATTATTTAAAAAAAAACCGAGGACTCTATTAGCAAAGCATGTTTTCATAATGGGTCTTTAGCGCTGACTTTCTCCTTTGTGATACATCAACTGAGAACACCATTCCAATCATAGCAGGCATCGACAAGTGTTCTGATGTATGAAGATAAATACTATTGGGTGATGATGTGATTTAAGAGTTAAACTCACAAAACTATATATGTATAAAAGCATATAATATATATATATAAAGTATAATCAAATAATTATCTTTCTCTCTTTATGTGTTTTTAAAATAGATTGTGGTATACTGAAATGTTTAGAAAGAACACATTTCCAATAATGTTCAAGGAAACTTTATTAAAGCAACATCATAGTGTCCCAGAGAAGGCTTCTGCAGGAACCTTACATTTTGGCTCAAGCCCAGGCTGTGGTGCTTCTCTGAGCCAAGATGGCTTCTGAGCAGGCAGGGATCTGGAAGCAGGTGTGTGTTATTGGGCTGGACACACCTGGAATTTTGGGATAGGTTCCTACAGAACAAGCCCAACCCCTGTAGTTAATGAAGAGGCTTATAAAAGCGAAGCCCGGGAGACAAAGGCTTAGATTGTATTTGGAGCTGGAGGAGAACATGAGAGGTGTTTAGTGGGAGCTGTATTGTCAATGGTCCTGGGGCCTAGAGTACTAAGGTGTTTTGTGAGAAGAGGAAGATGTCACTAGCTTAGAAAATTCAACCAGAACACCGTTACTGAAGCCAGCTGATCATCTGTGGGACTTGATGAGCTGTTTGGAAATGCAGGGAGTGATGCTGTCTAGTAGGGAGTGCCATGTGAAATGGTGTGAAAAGTGTGTGTGCCAGCTCATGGGGAAGCCATGCTGGGGTGAGTTAAAGCTGTGAAGTAAATTGCCGTTGCAGAAACGTTGCACTGATCTATCTTGTATGTCTTTTGACATCTTAGATTCTACAAGAACCCCATTCCAAGGGACTAGGTTTGGAGGCTCTTGAGGAAAGCTGTATACCATGAAGAGCTCAGTGTGTTTCTGTGGGATCCAGAAACGCAGCTGGACCCTCCTGCACAGCCAGTGGGGAGAGATCCCTGCACTGAGATCCCAGGTAGGACACTGCTGTACTCTGCTTGGCTGTTGCTTTTATCCACAGTACCTTCAAATTGCTACATATCGGTCTAACAACCCCGTCCTTTTGTACTAAAGGGAGCTTCCCCTCAGCAGTATCTCCACTGGACAAGTTTGTGGGATGGTGTGGCAGTCCAATAATGGCTCATGATCTGTGTAAGGTTGAGGAGCTCATGTTCTTCAAGTTTGGGAATCCAGAATGTGACTGGTCTGGGTAGGAATGTTTGTGTTGATATGTTCTAAGACCATGCTACTATGACCAACAGTGTCAGTACTTGGTTATGTAACCTCTTTCCTTTTTTTTCCCCCCCTACTGAAAAAGCCCTGTTGATCATGGAAGGGGAAATGGAGACTGGCAGCTGAAGCTCTCCAACAGGAATGGGACATCCTCCACACTGCATCAGTAATGTGGAACAAAGATATTTGGTGTGTGACGATCCTCTGACCTGTCATGTCCTTGCCCCTGATCTTGTAACAAAGTGAAGTTATCACTGGATGTCTTTGTATACAGCTATGATCTGTTCTCTAGTGTTGTGGTACCAAGGGATAACATCTTGATGCTTTATTGATCAGTGGGAGGATAGTAATTTAAGGTACTGTAATCCTCAGTGGCAGCTTTGCTTGGATGACCATTTTCGTAACTTCCAGTATTTTACATCAGTTTGGGTAATGCAGGTCCTAAAATGATTTCAGTATAGAAGCTGCTGTGCTCCAGTTCCCCAAAAGCAGGGCTGCAAGAGTCTCTTCTTAATCCAGAGCACATACAGCTTTGTTACTAAAGTGCAGGTAGAGTACATTTGAGTGACTTAATAGATTTAATTGCTGTCCAGTACATGGTTAAGTTGCAATTTAGTACAACCGCTTCACATGTGGCTTTGGGGAGTGAGGGGAAGGCATGGAATTACTTGGTAACTTAACAAATGTAGAGGGTTTAACAAAGCTTGCATTAGTGTTGCATATGCAGACCTTCCTTGAAGGTGTGCAAGAATAGAGCTGGTCCTTAACATTTCAGGACCTAATAGTTTTGATGGTTAGAAGGGTTGTACCCCCACTGTAGTCACTTTACTACCATGCAAAACTGTCCTTTTCATAGTTTTTGTCCCAAGTATTTTATAAATTGCTTGCGATTGACTTCATCTGTTGGGGGAGGGAATGCACCAACCCCTGCCAATATAGCCTCTACCAGCTAGAGAAGTGAGATGTATAATGAAGGGGAAATTACAGTAATGGTCTGGATTTTCATCTTCTGTACTAATCTTGAGTAAGCTTAGACTTTCTTTGTATGAGATCAAGCTATAAGGTAGTAATACTGTTCTTGTTTTTCCAGATCTGCTTCTGAACTGAAGCGGTGGGGAGTTTCTGTTTAACAAAGCTTAGAAACCGGAGACGAGCGCTATTGTCGGCTGTGAGGCTGAAGTACCTGTAGCTCCTATTGGTCAGTTGTTTATAAACTGAGGAGAGGTTTCTATTGGTCAACAAGAGGAGGCACCTGTTCAATTCCTATTGGCCAGACGTAAGGAACTGAGCAACCAATCAAATCGTTACCCAGGTAGCCGGTGACGCTAGATGACAGTCTTCATATCCTCCTGTATGAAAGAGAGGATATTTGAAGTTCCTGAACGTATAGAAGTAGTAGGATTACAGACGCATTTAAATTAAATAGAAGGCAACCTTCTAGCCTCAGAATTTACGTCTTTATAAATTATAACATTTTGACCATAAACGAATTGGAGCAGAGGTCTTCTGTTTGACAACATAATCCACCTATAACGAACATCGTTGTGTGTGTACATACACACGTGTTTCGTCTGTGTATTAAATGGTGTTAATTTTGAACGCTGTGGACGTGGTTTCTAATGCAAACTCTTCGCTAGAAGAGCCTTGAGCCGTGTTACTGTGACAGAGGTGTAGAAGCCAGAAAATACATTATACTGTAGCGCATACGCACGATGGATTTTCTTTTTTAAAAAATAAATGGTTACATTTTTATGAGGGGTGAACAATTTTCAAATATTTCCGAGGTCTGCATATGTGATGCAAGAGTTTCCAATGTATTGTGAACTAGCTCGGTCTACGCACTACATAGAGCCCCTTACAGCACTTCTGTTTTTCACGTTTACGAATCTTTCTTCGCGTAAAATAGTATTTTATAGTATAAAATAAGTGGTGTTTGTACTACAAAACGTTGTTAATTTTAATCATTTTAAAGACGGCTTGAATCTTAAAATGTCCTTATACTTCCATATTAAACAGATACAAGGAGACTAACTTCTTTACGATAGAAGTGACCTAGCTACGATATACTAGTCCTAGTTAAAGCCTCTCGCAAATTGCATGCTCTTAAATGTTCGCTTTTTAAGAGTAAACCCGCAACTCTTGTAAGTAGGGGATGATATTGGAGAAACTTATTTCTGTTTACACACAAAATACCACTATAAAGGCAAAATTAACCTCCGCTCAAACACAAATCAAAACTGCAGAGCTAGTTTTCCTCTTACCAGTAATCGTCCTTGAATTCGAGGGCACGTAATTACCCGAAACGGAAGTCGTTATATAGCTACTTTCAACTGCACCTCTTTTGCAGAGGGCGGAGCTCAATTAACCTGCAGCAGTTGCCTTGAACTGTGGGAGAAAACCAGAGCTCCCAAAGCAAACCCCCGTGAACACAGGAAGGACATACAGACTCCACACCCCCAAGAGTTTAACCCACGGTTGGTGCAAGTCAGATAAGGTAACGACGGAGTCCAGGATAAAACATAACAATTATTAGTGTAAGCACAATCGTATGATGATCTCACAGACATGGACAATGAAAAAATACATTGACCTCTGCTTTCTGAATATGATCAAAAATACTGGGAGTGCTTGAGCTCTAAAAACACCTGTGATCTGGTGTCTATGTCTTAATATTATTTTATCTTACCTCCACAAGAGACAGATCCAGCAAGAGCAGGCTTCCTAGGAGCAGCAGGGCAGACCAGACGTGTCTTGACAGACTCGGGTATCGACCCCATGAAGACAAACCACAGAAATCACCATCACAGCAGCCAGGAGCAATATCACACACGAGACATTTTTAATGGGTTTTCAGAAAATCGAGCTGATCACAGTCTTCGGCTTGTCCTCTTTTTTTCTGTCCTGTTCCACTTAAAACTAAAGGTTAACTTAAAGGTCATTATATTTACGGTACACATAGTGCCTCAGTATCACACTTACCAGACCAGTATTACCGGAACATACTGTAAGAGTTAGTTTCACTCGAGAGGATCAGGTGTTCAAGGCAACTGCTCAACAGGCAATAGTGAGTAGGCATCCCCCATGTTCACAAAACCAGCAGTCACAGTACATTTAGTAAATCCTAAATGTTATTTTTCAAATTAAAAAAAATATATAATTTTAGGCAGTCTTCAGTTTGAGTGGTTTAACCTACAAAACTGTACCCAAAGGATCACAATGTTGGCCTACAAACATGTTCAAAAGTTACAAAACTATTAAAACTGGGTGTGCTATACCTCCTCTATCTCCTTGTCCTACTTTGTCGCACCATGAACACAACAAAATCCTGAAACACACCTGCAGTTGAGAAATGAGAAACGTGTTTACTATAAATTTTTATCCAGGCTACGCCCTCAACATGGGAAAAATGGGCACTTGTTTGAAAAAAACAGTTAATAAAAACTGGATAAATATTTACTTAATTTTACCCCTTATGTCTAGCCATCCTGCCCTGTGGGAAACTGCTTCTCATTTATTTAATGTTCATTAGGAAATTAACAAGTTCATAATTTGCGGAAAACAGTTTTAATTAAAAACCGTACAGTTCTCCAGGTTAGTGCAATAGTACCATACATTAGATTGCAGCAGAATTCCATTTTACAGTACACAGTTTGTTTCATACAGTAAATACTATAGGTCAGGCTTTCTAGATTTTGTACAATGCAAGGTTTTTCTAGAAGCAGATCTGCTGATGTCCAGCGTCCCTTTATACTAAAAAAATCACACTGGTGATCAAATGGATGGATATTCCCAGAGAGCCACATAAACATGCTCTCTGGGAACTTTTTCAGCTGCACTGTCCTGTTGGATATCGTATTGGACACTGTTTCTTAGTGACAGTTTAGTTCCGGTACAAATGGCAATGAAAGCAATAGCAAGTTAAATAACTGAGAAACTGTGCAGAAAATCAACAATCTGTAACTCAATAAGGGCTGGAATCGTCTTTTTAGAGAACAGCACCAGCCTCTCAAACTCAACCAGAACTCAGGGGGAGGGTTCTATCCCCTCGGTATAATAAAACAAGACCAGCAACAAGAGGAGAGGCTCATCTTTCAGCAGACTGAGTGGATCAGCCCTTCACAGGCACGACGAGACAAGATAGAGGGATTCCGCGAGGAGCATGCACTCATGAGTTTTTTAGAATGATGCATTTTTGCATAATAAGGCAATAAGACAATGTGTACAAATTGAATCAAATACTATAAAATATGTAACAGTCATTAACACTCAAACAGATCTAGATCACGAGGATGGTACATTTTACAGAGGCTTGTCAGATGAATTTGCTCTAATCGTAGACTATCTCATGTTGATTTATTTTTGTAAATTAAGGGATGGGTTAGTAGTAGTTTCTTAACTAGGCTCAGAAGCCTTTTTTTGTGTGAGCTTAACTAGAATATCTGGTGCCCTAACCCGGTCTCAGAGCACACAGCTGGTGCCCTACTCCCGTCTCACAGCACACAGCTGGTGAGGCTGTGGGTTCATAGTGATGCCCAAAACAGGAGTGAGGTCCAGTTCAGACTCCTGCACTCCTGGAGGGGGAGAGAAGGTGAACTTCTGCAACAGCGAGGTGAAGAACAGGAACAGCTCCATCCTGGCCAGGCTCTCTCCGAGACAAGCCCTGCGTCCTGGGACAGCAAAAACCACAGGTTAGCCCTCCTCCTCATGGTCTGTGAGTGTCTGTGCTGAATCCCGCACTGCAGAACTGGGTGTCAATGTGTTTAGGCTGTATTGCCCACTCATCACGCTACTTGAGAAATGATGAAGTGACCCAAGTTTCTTATTTAAATGTTCAGACTGTGTTATTATCTCTGTTCTATCCAGGGTCATTCATATTAGTGATGCAACATGAGATATAAATACTTTTTACAAATGAGCTGCACACCGCAGTCCTGTACCTGCAGAAAAAGCCATGAAGGCGTCCTTCTTCACAAACTGGCCCTCAGGGTCCAGGAAGTGAGCAGGGTTGAACTGATGAGGCGTCTCCCACTGGGTCTCATCCTGGAGCACTGTGGTCAGCAGAGGAAAGACAGGGGTCCCCTGAAGTGAGCCAATGACAAGCAGAACTTAGAGCCTCATTCATTCATAACACATTTAAACTAAGAATAATTTTCAATAAGATCTTGTCAGTTTACATCCTTTCCTAGAAATCTGGCAATTTCAAGTTCTAAAATCATACAGGAAAACACTCTTTTGTATTCTTCCCAGATCCTTTATTCTGATTATCCTGGAGTCTGAACCATCTGGCCCAACACACACCTGATCAGCAGTATGAGACGTCTACATGCCTTTTTGATGAAGTAGCCCTGGAAGTGAACATCTGCCGCTGTCATGTGAGGAAGGTTCAGTGGAACGATATTTGCCAGGCGCTGGATTTCATGTATCACAGCATCGGTGTAGGGCATGCTTCTCCGATGTTCAGCCCTCGGCTGCTTTGTGCCGACAACCTTCTCAATTTCCTCCTGAACCTTTTCTGTTTGCAAAACAAAAGAAACATTGAAACCTGAACCATACAGCACAGGGTTAACTATATGGAAGTACATTTAAACCCAAGCACAGGAAGCGGTTCTTTACCCAAAGGGCAGTGGGAGTCTGGAACAAGACAACCAGTCATGTGCTTGAAGCCGATACTCTAGGTTTCTTAAGAAAACAGATGGCCTTACTTGTGTTCTGTATGTGGAAATGTACAGAGAGGTTGCAGGGACATCTTGTCCTGTTCACCACCATAATGAACACCCTGTGGTCTGGGAAAGAAAGGACTGAGGCTCTACAGCCGTCTTCAGTCACTGGCTAGTAATTTATTCCATTAAGTCATGGAGACCTAAAATATAATCAAAACTCTTGCTGGTCATGATTAGGGCTGGAGAAGCAATTCTACACTCTGTGTGGATGGTCTATTAAATCGAACATTTAGAATGTTTTGTAAGATATTTGCGCTGAGGGACAAATGATCCATTTTGCTTGAGAAAGAGAAATGGTGTGTGATGAGTCATTTCTATTTACAGAACAGGCCGAGTTGGACGGGTTTTCACCAGGTGCTCTGATGTCCTTTCACCATCCAAAGACAAGAGATCAGGTCTGATTAGAAACACTGTTGGCCAGTTTTGGGGGTGGGAAGGGTTTGATCCTGAACCTCATTATTTTTCTGCAGTATTATCCAATGGTCTGAAGGCTTGATATAAATTAACATGCCCTCCATTAGTTGTTATGCAATATGTGCACATCTAAAACTGTACCACAGGGGTTTTCCCTGGTAATTCAGAGTGTTGAGAGAGTCAGCAGGGGGGGCTCTTACTTTGGATGTGGGGATATGAAGCCATCAGCAGCAGCCCCCAGCGGAGTGTGGTGGCTGTTGTGTCAGTCCCAGCAGCAAACAGGTTTGAAACCGTTTGTGTCAGATTATCCTCATGGAAATGGGAGTCTCTCTGTCCTGAAACCTGAATACATTTTTTAAAAGGAAAGATGTTGAGCAGCTGACAATTTGTCCTTTAAATATGTTATCAATCACACAGATTCCAGTGCCAAGAAAGAGCGGGAGCAGTAAAGTCTGAATTTTCACCGTGAACTGTAAAAATTTCTCATGACAATTATGTGACGGAAGTCCAAGCCGTACCAAACACATAATTTTATTATTTATTAAACACTATTGGCAGGAGACAAATCCCAGTTTTGTTTGTATTTGAAAACCGGCATTTCAGAGTGTCTGTTAATGCAGCCTGGCCAGTGCCCACTTCTTCCCTCTTCTTTGGGAGAAATCGCCCAGTTTGCTCACCAGTCAGTGTGAAGACTCACCTCCTGCTGCTTGATCAAGAACGCATCCACAATTCCCCTCTTATCGTGCTCCTGTAAGGTCTGCTGCAGCTGCCCCACGAGTTGTTTTATACTGGCAATGTTCTCTGTAATGTTCATCAGAAGTTTCTTCCTAGCTTTCAGTAAACACCCAAGGAAGGGGAAGATGTTGTAGAGCTACAGAGCAAAAGAAAATATTATGTTTCTAAAATATACCCCCACCAGAGCACTTCATAATTGTGCAGGTCTTATTTACTTCAAAAGCTTTTCTTTTCCAGATCACAACACAAGCTGATGTTCTTTTGTTTTCACCAAAATGTTTCTAGATTTAGTCAGGGTGCCAGAGTGGCTCTCCCTACTCTCCCTATGAATAATACTGTTTAAAGACCACCAGTAGCCCGGACCCTGGTTTACTGTCTCATCTGAAGGCTGAAACTCCTACAGCACAGTGTCTCCGGTCACCTGGAGATGATACTGAAGCCCTCAGCTCAATTAACTACCTGCAATCAAACAGGCTCGATGGTCTGAATGTACATGGAGAGCAGGGTGGGCCCAATCCCTGGATGGGACACCAATCCACTGCAGGGTCCACACAGGGGAAAATAGGGACACTTGTAGAGACACTTGCTAACATACAGTACAATTATTAGGAAGCCATGACTGGTGAAGGCCAGCAGGGGGAACTTGGCCAAGACACTGGGGTAATACTACTCTTTTAAAGATATGCCCTGGAATTTTTCATGACCACGGAGAGTCAGGACCTCGGTTTTATGTCTCATCCAAAGGACAATATCTTTTTAACAGTGTAGTGTCCCCGTCACTCTACTGGGGCATTAGGACCCACACAAACCGTGGGGGTGAGCGCTCCCCACTGGCCCCACTAACAGCTCTTCCAGCTGCAACCTCAGCTTTCCAGGACGTCTCCCATACAGGTACTGGGCAGGCTCACACATGCTGAGCTTCAGTGGGGCTGCCAGCTGGGAGTTGCAGGGTGATGGACAGTAGCTGCTGGATTATGTATTTGGAAGTGATTGAGAAGAAATGGATCCTACTCAAATCTCACACAACCGCAGATGCAGATCACACAGTATGTCCCCCTGTCTAGAATCAAACCACAGCTTCAGGAGCTGTGAGGCAGCAGCACTGCCTAATGTGCCTCCAGGTCAATCAGACAAGAACACTGGTTTGGAACTTCTCTGTGAGAAGTCCAATTCACATACATTTTTAATGTTCTGGTTTTCTATTAAATACAGTATGTTTATTTCTAATAGGATTTGATTACATTGTTACAAAATCCTAATATTAGAGATTCAGCTTTAAAAACACGTTAATCATATTGTCCATGACTCCTCGAACTGTGAATACAGAAAGTGAAAAAAAAAAACTAGACACATTTTACGTACATTTTGGATTATACTGAAACTGAAATTTGCTTTCCTGTATTTGTAGTGGTTTTTTAAGAACATCAAAAAGTTTCTCTTGATCTTATTTTCAATATTTTAAATATTTAATTTTAAATATTTAAAATATTACCTGGATAGCAGGAGATCCACTGAATTTGATATTCTGAGTAAATCTATTCACCATAGCCTGGAAGACAGGATCGGCATAATCAAACCTGTCTCCATACACTATGGAGGATATAATGTTGGAAACAGCACAGTTTACAGGTTCCTTGGTGTCAAATGGTTTTCCTGCCAAAGGAAAGAATACAGCATCAGTCTGGAATACCTGCTGCAGTTGTGACTCTCTAGTTTGTCAAGTTAGTCTGAAAGTTTGTAATGAAACCATGAAAATATGCATTGGGGGGAAAAAACATGATATAGTCCCATGCCTCAGCAACAGTGAAGAAAAGAGAGTTTGTAAAAGGTAACAAAGAAAAGAAACCTCTGGAAAACAGCCTTATAAATAAATTTCAATTTATTTCTCCTGTTCCTTCAGATCATGATATATCCTGTCCAGTTCAATGCTGAATTTAAGGTCCTTCATTTGGCATGTACTGTAAATCTGTATCATGGTCTTTCTCCCCTACAGCTGAAAGATTTGCCTGTGTCACCTGTATCAAGCCACCCAGATACAAAACAGACTATTTGAAGACACTCCCATAGGTCACTGGCACCTGGACACCATCTGTCCTCAGATTATCCATTGACATAATATCATTTCGACCAGTTGAATTACATTTCAAAAGAAACGATGCTTTTGTATCTTGAAAACCGACAAAGACCCCTGTGAAAATGAATGCCTAATCCTTCTACCTCCATGTGCTTCAAACACTTCAATGAGGTACTGGATTTCCTCGATGATCTTTTCCTCACTCCCTTTCCTTCCCATTCCAAAGTCCCGCAGATTAGACAGAGCAAACCTCCTCATCTCCTTCCACGAGTCCCCGTTTGCAAAAATGATACCTGCATTCGAGCCAAACACAAATGAGAGATAAATCACACACACTTAATATTGTCTCTACAGTGGACGTACTGCTCAAGGAGCAGCTGAAAGAGGGAGTTAAAGAGCAGCAGGTACTGTACCAGCTTGAGGCTAAAACTTGTATTTGTGGCACAATGAAGCTTCTCTACATTTTCTGTATAATGAAAAAGTGCTATATAAGTGTAAGGTATTATAATAATAATAAGTGCAGTAAACTTGAATGTGTATTTAAGTTATAAACAAGTCTTCTTGTACATTAGCAGAAACATTTTGATCCAAACACAAATTGAAACAGTCAGACTGATGAAAAGATCTACAAATGAGTAATAACTCACAACGTGGAATAGTCTCGACAATGGACATACCACTGAAGAGATAAGGGTGTCTCCTGGGAAGTGAGATAACAACATTTTTTGTATTATCATTTTTGTATTTTTGCAAACTATGCAGTCTAGTGGCTTGAACCCACATATATAAATATGCTGCCTGTCTTTGGTCTTTGGTTTGGTTAGTAAGCTGGCTGTGTGCCCAGAACATATGGAAAGAACTGACTGTTGTCTAGTCTGCAACTAATTGATAACAATATTGGCATGTGTTGCTGTCTTATCATTTGCTCAAAATGTGACGTAGTAACTTGTTTGTTTAAAGGTATAAAAGACCATCTTTAGTTACTTATTTCTGAGTCCAGTGGTTGCACGCCATTCTCCCATATATATATAAAACACTACTCAAAAAGCAGCTGAAAGAAGGAGTTAAACCCAGCACAAAGTACCACCTAAACTTGAAATAATGCTGATTAAAGCTCTGAATGGAGCAAGTAAAGCCTGTTTTGGGGGCACAATGAAAATACTCTAGATGTTCTTTATCATAAAGTGCAGTAAGCCTGAACGTGTGTTTAGGTTAGAAAGATCCTGTGCTTCAGCAGAAACATTTTTACCGTGTCCTTTACTGATATCATGAAATATCGGTGTGATGAGTCTGCTCCCAAACTCCTCAGGGTAGTCAACAAGCGCCTCCTTCACTGTCTTGTAACCAGCCAGGACCACTACTCTCATGGGGCCGAGGTGCACAGTGAAGACACTGCCATATGTCTTAGACAACTGGGGCACAGAGAGAGAGAAAGAATTGCACAGCAACATTCAGCAGTTTAACTATGACCAAAAATGTGTAATATGATAATAGGGGAAATCATTTCAATTAAGAAAGACAATCAATAGCCTTTTTTCTTCTTCATTTCACATGGTAAGTAGGACAGGTCTACACAGACGCTCAATCCTCTAAAACACAGACAGTAAATCGTTACACTTTCAAAGTACAGAAGGTCTCTTCTCCAACTAACGCTGAATGTCGATGAGATATTCAGCATGGGGGTAAATTCCAGAGCTGAGCTTTACTTTCTCATTTATTGGCAGGGTCAACGTTATATGATGTCATGGAATGGGGA